TATGTACCTAACTCAACAACAACTTCATTGATTGTCTTTTATTTTCCAAAGTATGTCACAGTAGACCTTTATTGGCTTTCCGTTCTTCTCAGGGTCGATCCAGTACTTCCCGTTTTTTGAAAGAAACGTGAGTCTCGGATGTCCTTACAGGAATGACCAGGCTGATTGTAATATAAGCCTCTGGTAGCTGAAAAAGAAATGAGGTTTGATCATGATGGGTTTATTAATCTTAACACACCAGGTAAGACGCTGAAAAAAGGGGAGAAAGCTATACGCAAACTTGAACACGACGGTCCACATTTATCTTCAGAAATGCGTTTTAAAAAGGAGCCAATTGAAAATTTCCACCATCCTCATTGCACTTAATAGTCATGTATTTTGTTTGATAACGTCTACAATATAACTTTTCTATAGTAGTCTCATCACTTACGTGTTTCACAATGTTTTCCTTTGTATCCTGGATGACACTGGCCGCTTTTAGTTGTTTGTTTTCGCCCGCGAGAAACATCCATGCAGGAGGCCTGATTAGTAAAACAGAAAGGTGAACTTTTTTCTTCCCGTTCTGCCATCGATTGTTGTTCAGAGTAAACAAAGCTTGTTTTCTCTTTATCAGTATTCAGACGCTCAATGTGCGATTTTTAAAAGCAAATTTGACGTTACCTTTACACTCTTGTCAACACTCAGAACATGCTATACAAGCGGAAATGAAACCTTTTGGTTCGAAGGTTGTTGCAAAACAGGAATTGCAAATTGATGGAGATAGTTAAGACTCGCTTGAAAAATGTTTGCCCGAGATTTTAAACTGTCTGATGTAGGCGAATAACAAATGATTCTCTCAGTTTTCACTAGTATATAGCAGTAGTTCCGAAAAATTGTTCTTGGCAGTAAATAAGATAGGAAAGTTATCAACAAACCTGCTTAACCCACAACCCACCTGAACAGAGCTATAATATTTAGATCCTTTCTTCTTTTGAAGACGACCTGGCTTCATCTGCCGTGTTTTATTATTCATCTCACAGCTGCGTTTTCCTCCAAAACAACCGCAAGTTGTCATCAATGGAAAGACATGAAGTGGGGATCAGTAAAAGTTGTACAGGAAAGGTTAAACGATTCTACTTCATATTTACCAGGCGCTAATCACTAGTATTTGCCAAATGGGGATCAAAGATGGGAGTGCGACGACTTCAAGAAGAACTCTCATACAGAATTTTTTTCGCTGTCCTCTGATGATTTTTGGGAAGTCTTTGTTCGCTAAGACCTAAAAGCGACAGTCAAATACACCTTCTTTCACAGCCTTGAAAAGCTCTAACAACACACGCAGAAAAATACCATATTTTTTCAGGTGTGTTTGATATAGCCAATCAGCTGCTGACACGTCAATCGCCTTTCACGTCTGTTGTTGATGAATGAACGGCGAGTCTCAATTCAAGGTCGTTTGTCGGAATGTTCTCGGATTATGGCTGCTAAAAAACTGAAAAATCCGTATCGTATCAGTGACATTCAAATTTTCCTAAAAGAGGAAGTAAACCAAAATACCAAAAGAAAAAACCGAAAGTTACGTATTCAGTGCCCTTGGTAATTGCATTTCTCACCGCTGAGAACGAAAATCGATTGTTGGAAGACTTGTCAACTTTTGCTGTGTACCTGAAAGATTTCTTCAGTCGGTAAGGACAAGGGCAATAACTGAGAATTTTGTAAATTGAAAATTACGCCCAATTTTGCTTTTAGAAAGATTCAACGCATACTTTCATCTTGAGCTTTAGCGCCAACGCAATTTTCGATTTTTTTCGAACTTTCTCGAATTAGGCAGCTAAAACTCTAAAAAATCCGTACCGCTGACAGACAGTAAGGTTCAAACTTCCCTAGACGAGGAAAAAAACCGATATACAAAAATAAAAACCGAAATCTACGCATTCAGTGGCTTTGGTGTTGGCATTTTTCGCGGCTGACAATGAAAATCGACAACTGGAAGATTTACCACAGGCAGATTTTGGCCGTTTACCTGAAAGACTTCATCTGTCGGTAAGGACAAAGCCAATAAATGAGAATTTTTTTAATTGAAATTACGACCATTGTTGTTTTTGTAATCATGATTCAACGCATTTTTCCATCTTAAGAGTTAGCGCCAACGCACTTTACGATTTTTATTCGGAGATTGTAAATTCTTTTATTTCCATTCGTTAATAAAGTCAACTTTTCTTGTCAGTAAAGAGCTACTGTGTTTATATGATAAACAAAATAGTACATTGTTGCTTGTAGATATTGAATTTCTCTTTTCGTGTTGAACTCGACATCTCACTCGTTCGCCGCGCTTACTTGTAACCTATCGAGTTGAACACTCGAAGAGAAACTCTACATCTACGCACTTATGTACTATTCGTGACATAACATTCATTTGAATTTTGGTCCTCTTTTACTTTCAGTCAGTATGATTGTGTTTTAGGCACGGACTAACTCTATAGCTATAATTCCGGCATACTATGAATTTGTGCCAGGGAAAATATGCACGTTGTACCTGAAACAGTACCACCAGCTCAGATAGTCTAAGTGGCTTTGAACCTGCACAGGCGGTGGTAAAATAGTTGACGCATTGGATTCCGGGCCGAGGGCTCTGGGCTTAAGAACTAGCCGGGTTATTGTGTTCTTTTCTTTGTGCCTATCTCCATCCAGGAGTAAAACAGGTAACAACGAACTGTCAGGGATGCCTCACAAAGAGAGAGGGGGGGGGGAGGACAGAACAGAAACTTGGATAAGCTCCAGTCTGATTGGCTACATGACTCAAGTACAGACATTACCACTCTTTTTGAAAAAGCATTACATATCAGAAAACAGAGAGAAAAAGAAAAAAGTAACCTTGCGGGAACATACATCTTGATACACTGAATTTGTCATCAGGCATAATTTTAAACACATTCACGTCGAAGCCTCACTGGTCCTGCACAAGATTCTCATAACATTTTCTGTCCTGAGTAATTGGTAGTCCTGAGGGACTTTGGCCGAAGGGAGGCGGAAAAGCTCGTAACTGATCGAGAAAATTATCGGAGTGAAAATTTTGCTGCACTGGGGGGGTGGGTAGTGTAAAAGTTATGTTATGACTAGGTCGTCGGGGCTGAATTTTTATAGCAGAGCCGCTATAAATTTTGAACAGGACCTATTATATCAGGCTTGAAAACATGTAAAAAATGTCGATCTAAGAATTAACGGGAAATGATTTGATGTACTATTGTTGATATGATGTATTTATTTTGTTAGGTCGCCTGCCTGGATGTCGGTAAGTTTCATCCGGGATACATAAAACACAGTATCAAACACCTGGATGGCGAGAGGATTCTAGCAAAGTTTATTGAGAGACCGTTCCAAAAAAAAAATTACCTAGATTTCATCTGCTGCAGTTTTACAGCTTGAAGCGTAAGATAAAGTATTTTTGCAGATTAAAATGGTCGAGA